AGAGTGGGAGTGAGAGCCGTGCTCCCGCATGGCACGGCAGTGAAGGGGCTGCCAAGTGTGAAATCGCAGTGCCCTGGGGCCCGGGGCAGAGGGAGATACAGTCTGTCAAGCTGCGTCGTCTCCCTTGGGACTTGCGATCCGCTGCGCTTGCCCCGGGGCGGATCTTCATCGGGGAGGAGGAGAGCAAGCGCCCAAGCCCTACCCCTGCCTGCTTGTACAACACACCCTCAAGCTACCCCTCCTCCAAATTATGCCTCTGAAATCCCTGTGGCCCCTGGCGTGCCCCAGCCGTGCAGAACACTATGCCCAGCAGCATGGTGCCCCAGCCCCATGGTGTCACCTCCTCAGCTGTTATTCTTCCCCAGCCCATCTGTGCCCCAGCCCAGGCACATCCCCCAGCCCACACCCTCCCTTGCTGGCCAGCAGAAAGCCCCCTCAGCATCCTCCAGTGCCTACAGCAGGTTTGCCTGTGCCCAGATCTTTACAAGAGCCCATCCCAGGGCCATGGATCCAGCTTGGATGGAAAATGCAGAAAAGGACCAAAGGAGATTAGAGTGCAAGGGCACCGAGGTTTCCTCTTTTAAATGCTCCCACTACTCCCAGGACGTGGTCTGTTAGTGATTGTTGTGCAGGCAGGCCAACTGGTGCGTGTTCTCCATCCCTACAATAATGGTGGTCTCTATCACCTTGCTCTCTCCACCCTCTCTATCCCAGACGTAGACCCGTGGCAAGGACCCTCCCAGCACCATGTCTTGTTCTCTGCAGTTCAGATCTGGGTCTGCTCAATAACTACTCAGGGCATGGGCAAAGCAGGTCAGACCAAGCAAGTCCGGTCCCCATACCCTTGGAAGGGACCAAATAAACCCTTAATGGTTTTACGTGTTCCTGATCATGAGCAGGAGAAACCTTCTGCCACCAGTACCCATTGGTCAAAGCCTGATGCTTAAGATCTGAAATGGATAAGTGATGGATTTCAGTGCTGCAGGTGGCTCCAAACAAAAGTCATGTCCTTACCAAACAAAAGTCATGTCCCCTTTTCCTTCACCCTGTAGGAAAGAAAGGGACCAGCCACAGTTGCTGGCTTGCTCTCAGCTGAAGGAAGCAATGCAGGACACCTGCCCTGGCCAGGAGACCCCTAACAGGGTTTTACTGTTGGAGTCCCATCCTTGCAGCCTCTAGGCTCTTTCTAGCGAGGCCTCTGCCACTTGCTGTGCTGGACTGAGGCTGGGAAGGGAGGAGGAGAAAAGCTGAAGGATGCTCTGGCTTGAGGTGACAGACTACCAGGTGTCCTCAACAGGCAACTGAGCTCCTCTGAGACAGGCCAGAGGACTTGGGCCCTGCATGTACCTGCCCCTCTCCAACGGCTTTTGGGCAAGCTGAGCCCACAGCCTCTGCACCCCACTCCCTGAAGCCCCAGGTGGGGTGCAGTCACCAGCTCCCCACACTGGGTCGCAGCCCAAGCATGGCTCTCCAGCACCCCATGCCCCACAGGGCAGGAGCTGCCCTATGGCAGGGCCCTCCTGGCACCCCGGCGACATCACCCTCACTGCCAGCAGCATACCTGGAGGGTGGCTTGCACCAGGGCAGTGCCGAAGCAGCCCCAGCACCGTCTCAGCCCTCCCCGCTGGGTGCCGCGGGGCTCCGGACGAGTGAAAGTCCCAACCAAAACCAGTCGCTGCCCACTGGTTCCACGCCTGCTGCGATTTCACTTCCCTTTCCAGCCAGCATGCCCAGCCGCTCGCTCCCTCGCCCCTTGCACACATGCACACGCGCCTGGCTGCCGGGGAGTGCCCTGCCTGGCTGTGCAGTGCCAGCGGGGACGGCTGTGCCAAGCCCAGGGGGCTGCAGGCTCCTCTGATGAGCCGCGAGAGCCCAGACGCCATTCCTGTGCCTGTGACTCAGTTATTCCCCCTCTGTCTTAGTCAAAGTAAAACTCCCCAAGCGAGCGGGGGCACGTCAAGCACTTCCCTCTCTCTCGGCACGGCCCCTAGCTCCGAAGTCATGAGTGGCACGGCCAGCTCAGCACCCTCTGCCTCGACGCTTGCGCTGAACGGGCTGCGCTCACCCCTGTGCAGGTACCTGCCGGGGGAGGACATCTCTCCATATCCCACCTCACCTGGCTCCCTGCCTCTTGCACGCCCTAGGCGAGGAGCAGGGCTGTGGTGCACGCACAGGAGCAGGAGGGGTGAGCATCCAGCAGCAGGGTGCACTGGGAGCATCTCCAGGGGGTCAGAAAGCTGCAGCCAGGAGGGCTGAGGGGTGAGAAGAAAAGCTCAGGCTCGCTGCAGGCCACATCTGAGCTCCACAGCGGAGAGCCCTGGGAGAAGAGGGCACCCAGACCGCTCGCTGTCCCTGGCAGGCAGCTCGGAGAAGGGTAAGCGTAGGGACTAGAGAGCAGAAAATGTCTTGCCTTGTGGGCTGGTGGTTCTGGAGCTGTGCATGGAGGCAAAGGACCCCCACAAAACAGCCAGTGCTCTGTCAGGACACCTGCCCCTCAAACAGCTCCCTGCTCCAAAGGCTTTGCTGTTCCTCTTGCCCCAGGGTATTTCCACCCCGCTGGTCTCCTTTTCCCGAAGAGGGATGCTCCTCCATCATCCCCCTGACCCCTCCCCCCTGAAATCCACCCGCTGTCCTTCCCCTTTGTCAGCCGCCTCTCGGTGACCCCCAGCCCCTATTCCCGTGGGTCCCGCTGTAGCACTGTCACCCTGTCCCTCTCCCTCCCCTCCTTGCTTAGCTTAACACACGAGGGGGAAATGGGTCCTGGCATCTGCTGTACCACGCTTACAGATTAACTCTGTGACCTCTCCAGTCAAATATACGCACCAGGGAAAGCCCGAACAACATGAAGTACCTACGTGTTGCTTTTGACACAGGGCGAGGTTCACAATAGAGCTTTTCGGTGCCTGGAGTTAAACCCGGAAGCTGCGAATGCGTGGCGGGGACCCCAGGGACAGCAGCCGTGATCTCCTCCTGGAAATAAAATGCTCCCAGGTCCTGTTACGTGGAAGGATGTTGCAGCCTCATCGCCACGATTGATCTTACCCTATTGTCTCCCATTTTCTAAGCCGTCTTTACCCCCCTCTACAGCTTTTTCATGCTCTCTTCCCAGCCCATCTGCTTCCTCCTAGCCCAAGAAAAAGATGTTTGAATTTACCCATGATAACACTTACTCATGGAGAAAATCACCGCTGACTTCCCCAGCGGCACTCACACGTGTGCCTGCTCACCAGCGTGGCCCAGGCTGCCCGGATGGCTCCAGGGATCGGCTGTCCCCCTCTTCATCTCCCCCATCTTTGCCTCCCCTGCCCTTCGTAACAGCTGTTGATTGGTTTTGGAGCAGTAAAATTTAAAGCTTGGTGAGTAGTTTGAACTGTTTGCATCTAAGAGCTGAATATGCTTGATAATAGCACAAATGCATAATTAAAGAGCAGAAAAAATGACTCACTGGATAAGGAAATGTGCTTTTCTTATCTCCTCTGCAGAGAAATGAAAGCCCCAGGAGCCTGGGACTCCGGCTAACTAATAGCTTTTATTAAACAAATAAACCAGCAAAGATATCAAACGAGCTATTTAAAAATTATGTCTTAATCCTGGAGTCGGAGAGCTCGATTTCCAGTGCTGTTTGGTCCAACCACGCACTGGGAGGGCCAGCTTCAGCCGACGTTGGCTGGTGAGATCTCCACGGAGAGCTCAGCAAGGGACGGGGCAGCGCTGGTGACCCCAGGAGTGGGGAGGGACGTCAACGTCCTGCGAGTGCTGGTGCACACATGAGCGACCGGACTCGTGCGAGCGGTTCCTCTGGTGTCAGGGGTGGGTGAAGTGACTCACGCACACGCTTGCAGAACCGCCTGTAGCAGAAAATATCCACCGAAAGTTCACCTTGTGCTCATGTGCACCGGAAGCCCAAAGGCTTGTCAATCAGAGAAGCCGCGAGGTGTTTATCAAGCAGACCCAGTCACCTTAGGACAAACCTCTGACAGGATGCACCCAATGCCCCGGGTACGCCTTGGCACAGCCCAACATCTGCCCTGCATCCAGATGGTGCTGCTGGAAAGCTTTGGTTGGAGCCAACCTCCAAAGCATGTTTGGCACCTCACCCTGAATCCCTTCCCAGCTCCTCTGCGCCAGCTGGTAGGAAGCACCCCGTCCTGAAAGGTCCCACTATGGCTCTCGGGAGCTGGTTTCTCAGGGCTCCAGCACAAACCTCCTCCTTGGAATCTGCTGGGATGCCCCAGCACTGCCCAGCTCCCCCTTTGCTCTGCCTTCTCAATGCCAGCCAGACTCAGGGACAAAATCTGGGAAGATTTTAGGAATAAGGGGGGAAGATGTAGGCTTCAAGAGATTCACCAACAGCCTAAACCCAGACCTCTCCATCGAGGCCGCTCTTCTTCTTACCAAGGATTTCTGTGGCACTGCTGAGCCACCTGCATGGGGAGTTGGCGTGGGGCAGTGCCCCGTGGCACCGGCTCTGCTGAACATGGTTTGTCGCCTCCCCTTCTTGTTTAAAAGCCCCTGGAGCTGTGCTTCTCCGTGAGGTTAAGGAAAAACGAGCAGGTGTCCTTGGCTCCCTCTGCAAGGGGACTTGGACCTTCCAGGGGTGATGCTGAGCACCCAGTGGGCTGCCCTTTGAAGGCTCCTCCAGGGTTGCGGAGGGAGGGCAGTGGGTTGGCACTGCCAGTGCTCAAGCTCCCTCTGCCCATTCTCCCTCCATGCTCTGGAGAGCCCAAGAGGGACACAGCCGCACTGAGGACATGGGGGAACCTCCCCCTCCCCGATCCTGCCCTGGGGGAGCCGAGCCCTTGGCCTCCGCTGCCAGGAACAGGCGGGAGGGGGAGCGACGAAGTGTGCTGGCTGCTCTGGCTGCTCTGCAGAGTGTGGTGGGACTCTGGTGAGGCTTGGGTCCCCAGATGCTGTCTGAGCTCTCACAACCCCCATGTCATGAGCCCCACCATTAGCTGAGCCTGGGTCTTCTGCC